CCGATGGTTGAGAATCCCTGCGGACGACACCAAGATGAGGGCCTCTGGCTTGCTGCTGCCTAGTAAGGTCGTCGCAGGCGACCGGGGGGGGGGGCTGTTGCCGAATCTCCGGGTCGCTCACGGCTGCGACTCGAGGATAAGGATGCCTAGATGTTCTCCCTCGAAGATCACTGGTGGAGCGCGATTGTCGCAATGATTGACGCTGTTGACGGACGACTTTTCGTGCTTGCTGATGTCTCTGGGGGACGACGCCCGTGTTGGTGTTTGTTGGCGTCTTGTTCGCTATTGGGGCCAATCATGAGCGGAGCACGATCTGACCTCTTTCTTGCATGTATGCGGCAATGTCGGCGACTCTGGTCGATATTTGTTTGAGGGCCTTGATCTTATGAGGCATCGTAGCAGCGTAGTAAGTAAAATGGTTTGATGCATGTGTCATACACATATGAGCGACGCCCTGGATCCGAATCCGGAATAGGATAGTTCCCCACCTGGCATCGCCGGTCTTTTGGGGCCTCAAGTTGGCGACGTGACATGGTCTGAGGGTACTGCCAAGGCAAAGTGGTGGGTGGTCGAATTGGGTTCTCCGCCACTGGCACGCTTCGCATCAAGTTTTCTGCCTTGGTTGCTAAGCGTCGGGCGGTCTGACGACGGCGCGGCCAAGCGACGAAAGCATAAGGTCGCAGTCAATTAGACCGGCACCATGGTCATGGAAGCAAGGCCCTGGAGTCAAAACGGCGCTCGGTCGGGAGTCATCGGCGAAAAAGACGCAATATGGAACTGACGGGGGTGGCTTAGTATTCCGGAGACGATGCCGGGGTGGGCAGGAGCCCGACTCTCGGAGCTACGGGCGTCGATGGAAACAGGCTTCGGTCTCGGCGGCCGAAATGGAAGGCGGAATCTCGAGTTGAAGGAGTCACAGACGGCCGGCAGTTCAGGAGGTTCCATCGGCAAGATGTTGCTGAAGCCGAAAAGCGCAGGCTTGGGGCGGTCTGGACGCCGGGCCTAGGTGGGAGTCATTGAAGCCTGGGTAGTCATATGGGTGTTCGTCTGCGTCATGTCGGAGACGAGGCTGACCAACGAGCAGAAAATGCAGTGGAACGGGTTGGGGCGAGAGGGTTCTCGATGTCTTATCTCTTGTGTCCCTGGAGATGTTGCATCCGAGGTTGTGGTCAGCACTCTTTTGCTTCTGTGCCCGACCTCGTCCTCTCTGGTCCGACTCGATGTTGCTTGCCCTGTTTCTCACTGCTTCTACCAACCTCAGTCGGTGGTGCTTGCCAGCTAGTGCTGCTACCTGTCCGCCCGCACCTGCCAGTGACTAGCCCAGAATCCACTGCAGCTCGAAATTTGGCAGGCCCCACGCAGGGGCGCCCCGAGGCAGCGGCGTACGTGTTATGCCTCAGCCCAGCGGGGCGCACGGCGGGGATCTGCCAAGGGGCTGATCCAGTTAAGGTGCAGTGTAGCACCCCTGCAATCTGCCAAACCGCTGATCATTGCCAGGGCCCATCGACTTTCTGGAGCCCGGCGCAGGCCTTGCCCTCCAGCGGCCAAGAAAAAGACTCGTCACACGACATTCCGATTCCCATGAGGATGCAGCATGCGCGAATTGAACGATTTGGTCTTGCAGACACACAGTAGCTACCTAGCCATCAATCTCTTCGTGCCACGTCTCTCATATGCAACGGAGAAATCGTCCACACGTTGCTCCCGCCCCTCCATACTGATAGCCCTGAGCCATTAGGCCCGAATAATGATGCGTAGCGGAAACCGCAGAAAATGCGAAATTCTTTTCATCTCCTCTGCCGTCGTTTGGATATTCGCGTTTACCACTGGACGTGGAAAGACTGAGCTCGTCGGGAGCCAGCCGATCGTTGGTGCTGGCGTGGGGAACCCGCTGCCCTAAATGGGGGTCAGACTTCAAATAGTTCGCTGCGATACGAGGTCAGCTCGTTCATGATTCACGGAGCCTGCACTTGCGCCTTGGTTGGCGTGAGAACCTACAGGATACGAGGCCCGCATCTCCGCTCAGCACGCCTTGGAAAGCCAAGGTCTCCAGGCTTTTCTTGCCGTTCTTTCCTGCGTGCGTTGGCAAGGCAGTCGAAGTCGAGCGCCGTGGTGTTGCAATCCATCGAAGCGTCTGCGAGGGACATGCTCGGCATCGAAGCCAGCAGCTGCACTCATATCGCGGTTCGCCTCTCTACTAAATCACGTGGCATTCTAATCCCCGTGTCGATCTATTGCGTCGGCGCTACCGCCGAAGGCCTACCCGCCGGGGGTTGCCCGGGTTGATCTGCTCAGGTTGTGGATGTCGTATTGCTGGTAGCTTGTCAGCTCATCGGAGGCAGCTGAAGTCGCGGCTTGATTGTCATCGTGATAATAGATTTGGGCAGTTCCTGAGTCGAAGTAACGCGGCGTCGAAGGACCTTTTGAGCGTTGCAGATAGGCAGCCAAGATGAGCCATTGCCAGATTTGCGTCAAAGAGCACCTCCATAGCTGTGAGGAACGATGCGGAGAGATCGGGATTCCGAGTTCGTGACGTGACAAGCTTCCGTTCTCGCCGTCTCAGCTTTCGTTACAGTCAATCGTTTGTCGTTGTCCACACCACGGCCTCTCCTGTTCCATCACACACTCCGTACATCTAATGACTGACTGATGAAAGCCACGGCATCGTCGATGCCCCTTGGAGAATTGAACCAGTGGCCGCCGTCTGGGTACTCCTTCCACGTCACATGGGCGCCGAACTCGACGAGCTGATCTCTCAGCTGCCGGCCCCAGTCCACCAGCACAAGAGGGTCGTCCACGCAATGCTCCAGAAGTACAGGCGTCTTCCTCAAAACGCCATTGCCCGTAGGCACGCCCTCGAGGGCCAGGACCTTCCGCGTCTCCGGCAGCGACCGCTCGGGGAACGGCAGGCGCGACGAGAAGCCGAGGAAGGCACCGAGGCGCGTCTCGCCGTCGGTGGCGAGGTTGAGCAGCGTGTGCGCGCCGACAGCGCCGCCCTGGCTGATGCCGGCGAGGACGACCTTGTCCCATTG